CGGGACTGGCCTGAGGGATTTTAAAGGGGGTTTTAATTACTTTTAAATTGGACATATTTAAATATTTCGTTTTAATCAAATTTTAATTAAGTATGTATATATGTTAGTATTTTATTCAATTGTCAGCCGCCCTGAGTCCGTAAGGAGAAGGGCGGGATATAAATGCAATTAATAAATAAATAAATAAATAAATAAATATTACAGGTAGACCTTGACTTACGACCACAATTGAGCCCAAAATTTATGTTGTTAACCATTTTACGACTTTTCTTGCCACAGTTGCTAAGTGAATCGCTACAGTTGTTAGCTTAGCAACACGGTTGTTAAGTGAATCTGGTTCCCCCATTGCCTTTGCTTGTCGGAAGGTCGCAAAAGGGGGATCACGTAACCCCAGGACATTACGACCGTCATAAGCATGAACCGGTTGCCAAGCATCTGAATTTTGTTCACGCGATCGTGGGATTGCTGCAGCGGTCGTAAGTGTGAAAAACGGTCATAAGCCACTTTTTCCAGTGCCGCTGTTAACTTTGAAAGGTCGCTAAATAAACTGCTGTAAGTCAAGGACTACCTGCGTTCCGCCGACGGTCATCACTGGTTTTCAACCTCAGCCGCTTTAAAATGGGTGGACTTCAACTCCCAGAATTTCCTAGCCCAGGGTTAGGCAACCTTGGCTCTTTTATGACTCGTGGACTTCAACTCCCAGAATTCCTGAGCCAGCCACGCTAAGCTGATATGGAGAAATTACTGTTTTTATCTACGCAAAATGGACAAATATACAAAACCAGATGCATCTACAGAATAGTAAAGACGTTCACACTTTAGGGGTCCCCTTTCTAAAATTCATCCTTTCCGCCTCCACATGTGGGATTTTTAAAAAGCAGATGTTTAAAACTCCGGGCCAGTGGCCAGCGAGAAGTCTTCCCTCCCATCCCCCACCCCCCCAGGTTCCCTTCTGGTTTAAGTCTTCTTGCGCTCGTTTTAAATTAAAAATAAAATAAAGAAAATAAGAGCATCCAGTGGTTTGTTTTTTTTTAAAAAAAATAATTAATTGCTTCTTCACTGCAAAGGGGAAACGACATATTGGAGAGAACAGAGACATTTTGTGGCTAGGGCTCAGTTGCTCGCACTTGGACTAATCTGTCACGGAAGACGCTGAACTTGCCGGCAATTTATGCGGAACGCTGAGCGCATTTTGTGCATAGCTTTAAACCAAGTCAAATCTCTACGTACGGGCAAATGTTTTGCTTTTAGGAAAGAGGCAGTTTCATGCTCTGGGGTTTAAATTAGCTTTTAAGTGTGACAGTTTGGATACGGTTGTGTTTTCTTTTCTTTTTTTTTAAAAAAAAAACCAACCCCTAATTCAATAAGCTAAACCAAAGGGGTCCAGAGCATAACAGTAGAGAGCGGTAGACATCCTAATTAATCTAATGTGGGCTGTGACCTTTAACAAAACTGCGCTGAGCTGCTCTCAGACCTTAAGGAAGAAATAAAGAATTTAATTTAAAAAAGAGAGAGAGAGAGAGAGATTTGGGTCTAAGCAAAAGCTGCAGTTTGGGTGATGGGAAGGTTGCCTCTTCTGGATCCGTGGGGTGATTTCCCCCCTTGGGGGTGACAGAAGCTGTTGTGTGGGAGCGCGTAACTTCACAATTGTATCCGGCTGGGTTTTGTCTAATACGGATAGTCCTTGATTTAGAAGCGTTCGTTCCTTCGAAGTTACAACGGGACTGAAAAAAGTGACTTATGGACATTTTTCACACTTCCGACCGTTGCGGCGCTCCCCCCCCGTGGTCACATGATCAAAATTCAGAGGCTTGGCAACTGGCATGTACTTAGGACGGTTGCGGTGTCTCCCGGGGGTCACGTGATCCCCTTTTGCGGCCTTCTGACATGCAAAGTCCATGGGGGAAGCCAGACTCACTGAACAGCCGTGTAACTCACTTAACAATTGTAGTGATTCGCTTAATGGCGAGGAAGGTTGTGAAACGGGGCAAAACTCACTTAACAACACTCTTGCTTAGCAACGGAAATTTGGGGCTCAGTTGTAGTCGTAAGTCAAGGACTCCTGGATTGAGCGTGGCTCCTTGGGGGCTTCTTTGCCATCGTCTTCTAGGGCTGTTTTTTGGGAGTTGTCAGTCTAGTCTTCAGTCCTGGGATCTCCCCTAGGTCTCCCATCCCCGTGCTAGCCAATCTGGCTCAACATTATCAGCCTTGGGAAGAAGGAGACGAGGGCAAATCTCTTCTGAAAATGGTGCCAGGAATGAAGAGACCGGGCCAGGCAGTTGCCAGGAATCAAGGCTGCCGAGAGAAACGGAGAGAGAGTAGAGAGAGGGATGGGTGGGTGGATGGATGGATGGATAGATATAGATAGAAAGAGAGAGAGAGAGAGAGAGAGGGAGGGAGAGGGAGATAGATAGATAGACAGACAGACAGACAGACAGACAGACAGACAGACAGACAGACAGATAGATAGATAGATAGATAGATAGATAGATAGATAGATAGATAGATAGATAGATGATATAGGTAATAGAAACAGATATAGATAGACAGACAGCATAGAGAAGATAGAGGACAGATGGACAAGATAGATAGACAAATAATTTATTAAAGGTCTATATCATTTAATTCCCAGCGACTCTGACGCTGAGTCCCTTTTTCTTGTCCAGGATCCCCTTCAGTGTCCAAAAGAAGGGGATTCCCATCTGGACCCTTGTCTTGACCCCCCCCCCCTTGGAAGGGCTGGAGGGCTCCTAACGCAACTCTCTTCGGCCTTGCAGGGGAGCTGTACATCGGAGGCTTGAGCAAAAGCATGTTCAACAACCTGCCCAAACTGGTTGCCTCTCGGGACGGTTTCCAGGGCTGCCTGGCCTCCGTGGACCTCAATGGCCGACTCCCAGACCTCATCGCCGACGCCCTGCACCGGATCGGGCACGTCGAGAGAGGCTGTGACGGTAAGAGGGCCAAAGGGCCTTCCTTCCTTCCTTCCCTTTCTCTCTCTTCCTCATTCCAATCTTCTTCCTTCCTTCCTTCCTTCCTTCCTTCCTTCCTTCCTTCCTTCCTTCCTTCCTCTCTCCTTCTATTTCTTTCTTTCCTTCCATTCCAATTCTCCTCCCTCCCTCCCTCCCTCTTTCCCTTTCCCCTTTTTCTTTTTTCTTCTTTCCTTCCTTACTTCCCTTCCTCCATCCTCCCTCCATTTCCTCCCTTCTTCTTCTCTCTCTATTTCCTTCCTTCCTCTCTCTCTCCCCTCCTTCACCTCCAATTCTCCTCCCTCCCTCCCTGCTTCCCTTCTCCTTCCCTCCCTCCCTCCCTCCTTCTTAGTCCATTAAGTAAACCAAGCTGTGACACAAAGTCAGACGATGACCAACTCTTTGGGCCTTGCATGATCTGTGAATTGGGCCTTTAGGTGGGGGGCTGTCCTTGCAATCAGCCGTTGTCCTCCCTTTCTGGGGGCTAGCTTGTGTAACTGCAGCTCAGCTCAGACAACAAGGTAAGTGGGGTAGAGCTGGCCCGCCTGCCACTTGTCTGGGGTGAGCCCAACTGTAGCCTTCCGTGCCATTCCAGCCAATTAGTTTAATCAATAAGCTATGATTAAGCAATGAAGAGGAGGGGCGAGTGCTACGCTAGGTAAATATCTGTCCGTGTCTCAAACGCCGGTGAGGACATTAGGGTTCCCTTATTCCCAACAGTACGCGAAGGGAGCCACGGAGTTTGCATAATACCCCACTTAACCAGATAAAGTAAAACCTGAATGGCTTAATTCCTAAAACGTGCCTTAGTTGTGTCAACGCGGTTTTTGTGAGAAGGCAGCCCATTCAATCCGCTGAAGATCCAGCGCGGTGTGCGAGGTCAGAAAACGGATGGACGCACAGATCCAGACAGGAATTTAATTTTGTTCACCTGGCTTGACAGCTGCGTTTCTCCACCTGGGCCGTTTGAAGAGGTGTGGACTTTTAACTCCCAGAATTCCAGGGGAATTCTGGGAGTTGAAGTCCACACCTCTTCAAAGAGGCCAAGGTGGAGAACCCCGCTTTAGAGTTTAACGTTGGGGGAACGCGGCCACGGGGGCTGTCTTGGCCCCCCTCCCAACACAGCTCAGCGGCTCCCAGATTTCCCAAAGCATCAGCAAGTTGGCATCTCCTATATAACCTGTCATACTTGGGAAGTTGGCAGTGCCCTTCCTGGCCTGGTGGTGCCCTGGCTTAGACCTGTCCCCTGACTCTGCCTCCTGCTTCCAGGCCCCAGCACCACCTGTACGGAGGACTCCTGCTCCAACCAGGGCGTCTGCCTTCAGCAATGGGACGGCTACACGTGTGACTGTACCATGACCTCCTACGGCGGCCCGGTGTGCAATGACCGTGAGTAGTCAGCGAGTTGGGACGGAGGGTAGTGGACGTTGGGGGGGAGCGGCCACAGGGACAGGGTCCTGCCAAAGCATTTGGGGGGAGGGGAACGAGCCCCCCCCTTGGGGGTAAAGGGCCTTTCTAAGCTCAGCCTTTAATTGGGGCCTCCGCGGTGCTCATCAGGGACGGCTCAGAAGCAGATCCCGGGAATGGATCCTTGTTAAGAAGCAGCTGCAGGCTCAGATTCTGCAAAGGCAGGTTTTCAGGGGCAGCTCTTTGATCTGGCTTCCTGGGGGAGGAGAGGGGAGGGCAGAAGAAATGCACAACATGGGTGAGGGGGTCCTTTCCCCCCCTCCCGCTTCCACTCCAAAAGACACGGGCAGCACCGCTTGCAGAAAAAGCTACCTATCCATGCATTCGTGGATGCACTCCAGGGCCGATCCTTGAAGAACTCAGCCAGGGCGAAAGGAACTGGGGGTCCCCTGCCAGATTGCCCCCTTCTTAGGCTCGTCTCCCCCCCCATGGGGAGTCAGGAGAGAGAGAAAAAGAATTCATGCTGGCTGGGGGATTCTGGGAGTTGAAGTCCACCTATCTTAAAGCCTTCTGACTGGGGAACAGAGTTCCCCAGTCCAACCATCCTAAACCCTGCTGGCTGGGGAATTCTGGGAGTGGACATCCACCCGTCATAAAGTTGCTAAGGTTGAGAAACACCGGGGTAGACAACGGTGAGAGACACAAGACCAGTGCAGTCTCAGCCACAAAACACAGGTTTGCATTCTGGACGTGGTTTGCATCATTATCATCCTCAGCATCTTCCTAACAACAATAGCAATTTAAAATGTTTGTACATTTGCCCCCAACCCGTCTTTTTAAGCATCTTTCCTTCAGCGTGTTATTTATTTACTTGTTTGCTTAAGTTGCGTTCTGGGACCTTTTATTTCTCACTTGCTCGCTGGCTCGTGAATGTTTGGATTCGGTTTCTTTCTCTCCCCCCCCCTCCCTCCTTGTTGTGCAAGCATTCAGAGCTAATGAGAAGCAGAAGGTTGGGCTTTAAATGCAACTTAAAAAGAGGAAGAATCTGCGTTTGGGGTGCCAGCAGCAGGGTTGAACCCCAGGGCATCTGGTTGCAGCTATTCTCTGGAGGGAACCGCTTGGAAATGATCTGGGATAAATAAATCCTTAGGGAGCCGTTGATCTCTGGGTGAAGTGGCTGTGGGCAATGAGGCTGCAGATTGTTGGGAACCAAGGAGAACCTTTCAAAGTTTGTTTATTTACGATCCGAGATCAAAAGAAGAAGAGAAGTGAGACGAAGGTTTGTAGAACAGCAGACGCGGTAGTAGATTTGGTTTCTATCCATTCTGCACTTGCTGTGATTTAAACAAATATTACTTATACCTTGTTATGAATATATGTTTTTTTCTCCCCGAAAGCATATCGGTAAATGTGCTGGGCCGGTATTCATTTCTAAACGTAATTTAGCCTACCATGCCTCCTTTCAAAAATTTTGCTTTTTTGCTCTCCTCTCTGAGCAAAGAAATGCATCGGAGACTTTGGAGAAGTGAAGAGCCTAAAAGATAATTACAGGCAATCTGTTCATTAGTCCGAATCGGATTAGTTTGTGTCAGAGCTCATGAAAACCAAAAACTCTTCTGCATGAGCGGCGGGTGTGTGTTTGTGTCTGTTGCTTAAACCCCCTCACCCTTTTTATTGTAAACCAGTTGAGAGGAAATATTTTTGCTGCTCTGCCCCCAAGGGTGTGGCGTTGTGCAAATTGCAGCCGGCAAAGCAACAAGATTAGAGTTTTTACGAGAAAATCTTGAAATCTAAAGGTTAACATTCGTCATAATTACCTGTGTGTCATAAACTGGACTTTAAAAGCAGCCGGGCAGGAAGGCTGAGATGTTTTGAGCGATTGCGGGTGGGTGGGGAGGCAACCCTGACTGAACCATCATCTGGGTGAGGCAGACGTTCTGGGGAGAAGTGGAAGATAGGTTAGGTAGTCATCTGAGGGCTAAGATTCCTAACTGTATCACTTCCACTACTATACTGCTGCATTTCAATAGTAGTAATTCAATAGTAGTAACTGTGAGAGGGATCTCGGAGTCCTAGTGGACAATCCCTTAAATGTGAGCCAGCCGTGTGCTGCAGCTGCCAGAAAAGCCAACACAGTGCTGGGCTGCATTAACAGAGGGAGAGAATCAAGATCACGTGAAGTGTTAATACCGCTTTACAAGGCCTTGGTAAGGCCACACTTGGAATACTGCGTCCAGTTTTGGTCACCACGATGTAAAAAAGATGTTGAGACTCTAGAAAGAGTGCAGAGAAGAGCAACAAAGATGATTAGGGGACTGGAGGCTAAAACATATAAGGAACGGTTGCTGGAATTGGGTATGTCTGGTTTAACGAAGAAAAGGACGAGGGGGGACATGATAGCAAGTCTTCCAGTATCTCAGAGGCTGCCCCAAAGAAGAGGGAGTCAAGCTATTCTCCAAAGCGCCTGAAGGCCGGACAAGAAGCAACGGATGGAAACTGATCAAGGAGAGAAGCAACCTAGAACTAAGGAGAAACTTCCTGACAGTGGGAACAATTAACCAGTGGAACAACCTGCCTCCAGAAGTTGTGGGTTGCTCCAACACTGGAAGTTTTTAAGAAGAGACTGGACAGCCATTTGTCTGGAATGGTATAGGATCTCCTGGTTGAGCAGGGGGCTGGACTAGAAGATTTATGAGGTCTCTTCCAAGTCTTTTATTCTGTTATTCTATTATTTCAGCACCTTCTGTCTGCAATTTTCCCATCCAGGACCCGTCTTTTTTTAAGTTAGTTTGAAAGAAATCATTTTTGAAGAAAGCTTCAAACTGTGGTGGCAGTGGTTACCCTGCCTGGAATGGTTGGGCCTGAAATATTCAGCATGTTTTGTTTAATTCTTTTTTGTTTGTTTGTTTGTTTGTTTATTTGTATCCCACCTCGATTATTTTTACAAATAACTGAAGGCAAGTGACATCTCCAACACACTTTCCTCCTCCTATTTTGTCCACAGTAACAACCCTTTGAGGTGGGTTCGAGTAAGACAGAAGGACTAGCCCAAAGTGACCCAGCCAGCTTTCCTGCCAAAGGCAGGACTAGAACTCACCGTCCCCTGGTGACTGGCTTTCATGGTTAAGGCAGGACTAGAATTCATGGCCTTCTCTTTTCTGGCCTGGTGCCTTCAACCACTTTTAAGGAACTTTCCTTCTTCAGGGAAATAAAAAATGGCTTGGCCTCAGCCTGTGCTGTGTGTGCAGAGAGAGGACATAACAGTCCCTGGATACTTACGGAGACAGTCCCTGTCACCCGATATTCACAGGTATCTTTTAACGGGGCCTGGAGGTTTCGTTTTTTAATTGCAACATGATTCGTCTTAATCTAGTGACAAGATAGGCAGTGAAGTGAAATGAAGGGTGGAAACTTTTAATTCACAGGAAGAGGCCGTTCCTGCCATTCCACCTCAAGGGGTCTTGCAACTGTTCCTTCCAGGGATATTAAAAACAGCAACCGGGTTTGTGATTAGCCACGTCCATTAAAGCCTGGGCAGCTGCATTTGTGAAACGTGCTAAACTTGGGTAGATTTAGCCTTGGTTAAGGTGGGTGTACAGGCAGTCCTCGACCGACAATTGTTCGTTTGCTGACCGTTACGACAGCGCTGAAAAAAAAGGGACTTAGGAACATTTCTCACACTTAGGACCGTTTCAGCCTCCCCAGGGTCACGGGATCAAAATTCAGACGCTTGGCAACTGACTCATATTTATGACGGTCGCAGTGTCCCGGGGTTTATGGATAATCTCCTTTTGTGACCTTCTGGGCAACATCAAGGGAGAAGTCAGATTCACTTAACAACCGTGTTACTAACAACTGCAGCGATTGCCTTAACAAACACGGCGAGAAAAGTCGTAAAATGGGGCAAAACCCGTTTCACAAATGTCTCATTTAGCAACAGAAATGTTGGGCTCAATTGGGTACAGGACTACCTGTATTGGTGTGTGTGTGTGTGTGTGTGTGTGTGTGTGTCTGCACATTTCCCCTGTTGCAGCACCCACCTCAAAGGGAGAATCTTGCATCAGAGAAACCCAAATCTAGGATCTGCTTCTCCTCCACAGCCCCCCTTTGTTTGTCCCCCCCCCTCCCCAGCTCCTGCACTGCTGATGAAGCCACTTGCATATTGGGGCTGACAGTCCAATCCACTTTAATGAGACAAGGGGCTGGCATGGAAGACCGGGAAGTCTTTAATGAGCCCTATTATACCCAGGCCCTGAAGCGCGCTGGAAAGAGGTGGCACAAGGGCCACCTCTCCCCTTCAGAGACCCCCACGATTGCCACCTAGTAAGAGAGGCTGGGCCGCCCTCCCCCTTGGGCAGCTTCCTTTCGGAGAGGGACCCCGTCGCTGACAGTGGGATGCGGGAATGTTATCGCCGGGCGCATCGGGTTGGAGAGAGTCTCTTAACGTGCCGGAGTGCAGATTAAAGGTGGTCCTCGACTTACGGCCACAGTCGAGCCCCAGATTTCTCTTGCCAAGTGAGACATTCGTTCTGTGAGTTTCCCCCCATTTTACGACCTTTCTTGTCACAGCTGAATCACTGCAGTTGATAAGTTAGTAACCCGGTTGTTAAGTGAACTTGGCTTCTCCCATTGACTTGGCTGGTCAGAAGGCGGCCAAAGGGGATCAATTGAATTGTTTTAAAAATGAACAGTTTATAGTGACCCTCCTATTTTGCAGCACTTAGACAATAAAATGTGCGTCGTTTGTGGAGCATAAATGTTGTCCCGAACGCTACTAATGGCAGGGCACTTTAAAGCAGGAAGTGCTATTGCAGGTAAGTCCTCGACTTACAACAGTTCATTTAGAGACCGTTCAAAAAAAGTGACTTAGGACCGTTTTTCACACTTACGACTATCGCAGCATCCTCCCTGGTCACATGTTCAAAATTCAGATGCTCTGCAATTGACTCGTATTTATGACGGCCGCAGTGTCCCCGGGGACA